GAGCATCACTGTGTCAGTGTCTAATTGTGCTGTGACACACATAAAGCAGATGGCCCATCTTAGCTGATTCCAAGTGTACGATCCTCTCACGTTAAGTACGTTCACGTTGCTGTGGAGCAGTACTTCTTGAACGTCTTTTCTCACATGTCTTGCAGCCACGTGTTTTGAAGACCAGATCTGAGGATACGATGCAGAGAGCCGAGACAACTGAGGACTGCAGCCTGGAAGGTATGTTGCTTGTTGGGAAGAAAACCTCATATGCAGGCTTCCTGGGAGATGTTATGGCTTCAGTTCTAGACCCCTAGAATAAAGTTAATATCATAGTAAAGAGAATCAAATGTACACTATACTGTAGTCTATTAAGTGAGCAACACCACTGTGTCTAAAACCCCCAATGTTCGTAACTTAATGAAAATATACTTTATTACTAAAAGCTACTAGCCATCATCTGAGCCTCCAGTGAGGTGTTATCTTTTTGTTGGTGGATGGTCTTTTTTTTAAACTTTTTTTTTTATTGAGTTACAGTCATTTTGGTGGATGGTCTGGAATTGATAATGACTGCTGACCGATCATTGTGGTGGTTGCTGAAGATTGGTGTGGCTTTTTGCAATTTCTTAAAGTAAGACCACAATGAAGTTTGTCACAGGATTAACTCTCCCTTTCAGGAGCAAGTCCTCTGTAGCAGGAAGTGCTATTTGATACATTTTACACACAGGAGGACTTCTTTACAAATTGGAATCAATCCTCTCAAACCCTGTGGTAGTTTCTCAGCTAAGTTTGTGCACTCTTATAAGTCCTTTGTTATTTCAACCTTCTTCACGGCATCTTCACCAGTAGAGTCCATCTCAAGAAAACAACTTCTTTGCTCGTGCATAAGAAACAGCTCCTCATTCATGCACATTTATCATGAGACTGCAGCCATTCAGTCACGTCTTCAGGCTCCACTTCTAACTCTAGTTCTCCTGCTGTTTTCAGCACATCTGCAGTTCCTTCCTGCACTGAAGTCTTGAGCCCCTCAAAGTCACACATCAAGATTGGAATCAATTCCGTCCAAACCCTGGTTGTTGATATTTTGACTTCTTCTCATGAATCATGAATGTTCTTAATGGCACCTAAAATGCTGAATCCTTTCCAGAAAGTTTTCCATTTATTTACCCAGACCC